GGCGGTTAGCGAAAAGGCTGATCTTGACCCCCGTGATAATACGAGGTTTTGTGACTTCTTGGTCATTGACGAGGTTTCTCTTCGCACCCTCGCCACCTTGCCTAAAGAGATGCCGTCCTTGGAAATGGTGTCTCGTGCTGAGAGACGCGTAAGTCTCTTTCTTAGTAGAAAACTTCCCCTTGGAATGCTGACTTATTCGCCACAAGGCACGGCATGATTTGTGGGCTGGCTCATTTATCTGGCTTATCGACTCCATCGCCGCGAAACGTTTTCAAGGTATCGAGGATGCCGATAATTACAACGGCCTCATGAAACTGAGCCCCGAGGACCTCCCGGACGCTTGGTTTGAGCGAGCGGGAAGGTTTTCCAGCGATTTTTGGACCTTTGACCGCGAGGAGATTCCCGAAGGATCTGGAGAGAAGTGGTACCGTCAGCGTTAAACGACTTTTACAGAATCGGGATAGCGCAGTCGGCTGACAGATCTGGGATTGTTGTGGGTAGTAGACGTTCACCTCCATGCTCGGGTTGACAGCAGATACTCCAGCGCCGGACTTCTGGTTGAAGAAGTACCCACTGAACTCGAGCATCTAAACAAGTCTGGCAAATACAGCCCTCGTTTCGAATGTTTAAATAGTAGGACTGCCAAAGCAGCATTTGGGTCCTACCGCTCTCCCGCCGACACGGTCCAACCGTATAACGACTGAGCAACAATGAATAGCGAGTTGATACTGAATTGAGCATCGTTCATGATCGGAACCACAAGTGCAACAAGTCCAGACACTGACCTGGCCTCAACCGTGCTCCTTGGATGGGCCAATATCTGACTCAAGCTATAATGATATTTAAACTTATAATCTCGCGTCAAAGGGCGACTGTGAACGAAGCAGAGAATGATAAACTCGTTGGCTAGGGGTTTCTGATACAGTGTTCGATTTTGCACCACTACCGCAACCTCCGCAGACCGTGTGGGTAGTCGTCATACGGCAAACTTTGAACGACGATAATTTGTTTTGGGGCCGCTGTTTTTTATTTCTGACGAAGTATTCGAAGATGTAGGCTTGTGGGAAATGTCAAGAGTTGGACAGATCAAGCGCTGAATGATCTCTACTTATTGTGTCAAAGATGACTCAACTGGATGCGCCTCACTTGCATGGAGAACACTTGACGGGTCAAGGTGATCTCGAGCAACATTGCCCCGGCCGTTTACTAAATGACGTTCCAAACCATGAGTTTGTGGTTACGACGCAGCCCCCCGCAAAAAGACTACGGCATAATTCACATCATACACGGGCACAATTCTGGAAACACTATATGGGCACTTTGACCTGTGCCCTCTACCAATTAAGGAAAACAGTACAGAAACCCCATACGTTTTTCTAACCATTATATACGGCGGAAGAGTTCTCCGGTCAAGTTGTCAACGCGCAAGCTTGGTGACTACGACGAACATAGTACACTACCATTGACCTCGTCTGTTTCTTAAATCATAGCATTGGGTAGATTATAAAAACTTCGGCCAACTGTCTTGGTTATTAACTTAACACATGCATGATCTAAACACACTTCCCTATTTAAACATATTTCTGGTGCGAAAGGACTGTTTACCAAAAAAGAACATATTCACCGAGTAGGAGAATCGGTACGCGTGAGTGGTCTTCTGTCGAAGTCATTCGACCTTTCACCCAGTGTTACCATCAGCTAGAAAAATAACAATTGCGGATCAAAACTTTTGGCGCCGGCGTTTCTGGCTTTTGTGAAAGTATTCAAAAATTTAAGCTGGTCAGCGATGAGATATACACGGAGCGAGAGCTGAACAAGTAGTCTAACGTTTCAAAAGTTGGAACTGAGCAATTCTTTCGTTCACGTACAGCATACCAAGCGCTCCATGAGTTCCATAGTTCCAAGGAGCACGCGCCATTCCTTGGCTGTTTGCTCAATAACTGCTCTAGTCATGAGGGTATATTCATATGAAGTGGAGGGGTTCTCTGGCCAAGTTGTCAAGAGTACAGCTGAGTTATTGGAATGAATCCAAGTATGTGTAAGCACTGTTGACTCGAACTTTCCTATTTCATACAACGGTTGAAAAGACTGTGAGTATTTGCATCATCCAACTCAGCTATAGATACAGCCCATCGGCGAGTCCCATTTTCATCGGTACAATTTGTTCGCTCTGTCGGAAGTGACTGAGCATTGCCAAAGACAGCATGCCTCATCCTTGAGTCTTGCTGGCAAGATTCAATCATCCATCCAAATCGACTCGCAGAGGTTCTTCAACCAACCTAGGCATTGTGGCCTAGGATCTTGCTTCGGTGTATTACAAGGCGTGATGTAGAATAATCTCACGACGATGCTGAAGACAAATGGCAATGGCGGCAAGTTTCATCTCCTACAGACCAGACATGCCGTCACGCCAGGTCACGCCAGACGTAACCCCTGGTATGCTGCAATACACTTTCGTCTCCAATTCAAAAGCGTTTGAATCTCAGCCAAAAATTAATTGTCTTGTTACGGGATAACCGCAGTAGCCTGAGAACTTTTTACATCCACGTCTGTGTTCTGGCAGCTGTATTCGTATATCCGATGATGAACTTGGGCCGGGAATACTTCGCTGTGATGGTGTCAATCTTACTCTTCTGGCAATTAACTTTGAGTTGAGATGTGTTTTCGTCCCTTTGTTATATATCAATGTGGGATATATCCAGAATACTCCCAAAATGCGGCAGACGACAGATGAAGACAACGTACGTTGTCTACTGCTGGATCAGAATGGTACCATCAGAGTTGCAACTCTTCGTGTCTGTCAAAGTAGAATTTCCCAAGCGAAACGGCTGTGTCTTCTTTGCTTAGAGCGAATCCCGTTGACCCAAGCCAATTTATCGTCGTGTTACGGCTGAGACAGTTACGGTAGCCTGAAGGCCTCTTATAGATCACACATCTGGCCCGGATAAATTCTGAACTTCTCGACACGTTCGCCTCGTGTCAAATCAAGCGCGATGAGAAGAGTCTTCCAGTTTAGGAGTGGCCATCTCATCTATAAATACAGCCCATCGCCGAATGCCACTTCCATCTGCACGGACACTGTACGTGGGTGCGCGTTCTTGAAGACAACAGTCCTCAATCTCGCAACACTGACGAGGCATAAACAACAAATGAGCCTTAAAGTGGTTTCACTGTTCTAGAAACGTGATCTCAGTTTCTACCCTCTGACGATTCAAAGATACAACGTAGAATACCCTTGAGACACCGCGGTTACTGAATGATGATTAAAGAAAGACCTGCCTTCGCATGGCAGACGTATTATCTTGCTTGCTGTAAAGTGTTTACTTTGCCTGCGTCAGATGATGCTGCCGTCTCGTCGCCGTTGTCCGCCGTTTGCCGTCTTGTTGTGGGACAGTTGGAGCCGCCTGACAGCCTTTGGCACATCATACATCCGGCTTGGATCCCTAGCTTGTCGAAACATCCGTCACGCCCAAACCAACTCTTAAATCCGCTGCTACACATAGTAAGCTGTCAGGCTCCTGAGAGATCCACTACAAACAGGCATGTGTGAGCCACATCTTTATGAGGCAGCAAAGACGCAATGCAACTATATCTTTAGTATGAGTCGTCACTTGAAGCACGATGAAGGCTTGCTTGATATGATCCAGGAGAAACTCCTTGTTTGAATCGGCATCAAAGCGCATCTGCCTTCAACATTCTGTCCCTCTGCAATATTTATTCATACCCAACACCCCCATGACGAAGACGTTGGCGAAGACTACGTGCCGCAGACAGGATCCCAAGACTAAAAAGGAGAAGCGCAATCGGGCTGGGGGGTATCGCTCGGGAACCATACCGCCAATGGTGTACTGTGAGCTTGAATTCTATTTCGCTTCCATTGTCTTGCCTCCTAAGTTCATACACTCTGACGTATGCTCTATGCAGACGTATGATGGGTGCAGCAGATCACTCGCCCAGAACTGAAGATGTCTACAGTACGCAGTAAATATACGACATCTTCTTCAGACTCGTTGAATTCCCCTCTAGCAATTCTCGGACGCTTCGTATCGCTATTTGTTCTGCACAGCTGGGACGGGCAGTACTACGCCCATAGGCCAAGTGATCCACTTTTCCCGGCCAAAGACCAATTCCTGCCCATACTGAACATATTATATCCTCGATCGGCGGTTTCCTAGGTTTATTTAGGTGGGAATACTTGCTAGATGATGATACTAACTTGTAAATACAGGAAATATATCAGAACTTGGTACTACTTGAGACGAACAGGAATGGCCATAAATCATCAGACTTTGGCGGAACGAAAGGAAATACCGAAAATATATCACCTTCCCGCAATTGTTATCACCCACATCAGTCCCTGGAGGCAGCTTAAATACCTCGGTGATACGGACGCGGATACGGATCGCTGCACGAGTCGAAAGCATGACAACGTGTCTCACAATGAACACAAAGATACATCACGGGGCATCAACGACGGCAAGGCACCCAGGTGACTATAGACTCGTAAACGCCCCTGGTGACACAACACAGCAACCTCAACACACAACCTCACAAAACACATCCCAAAACCAAGTCAAAGAAAAAGCGTAGAATTTCACTTTGGTATCTCATCTCTAAGCAACCGACAAAACAAGAAAGTTACCGCTTTCCGCTTGCCTCGCTTCGCTTGCCCAAACAAAAAAAAGAAGGAGAAAAACGCCGCCGCTACCAAATGGGGTTTGTGGTACAATAACCTCCCCGTCGCGGACCCTTGCTTTCTTTTCTCTTTCGCGCCGCGCCGAATCCTTATATAACCGGACCATATTAAAAAAAGAAGGAAAGTAGAAACGCAACCCATATCTCTTCTAGATAAATCCAATGTCGTTGCGGAACCCAGTCTAAGACGCCTGCCTTATCTTTTGTAAACCCGTGGGACCTCATCATCCCTCCTCTTATATCTTGATTATATTTGTGAAGAAATGTCGAAAAGTGTGCTTTACCCCCCTGTGCAAAGGGAAGTCTTAGTTCGATCCGAACCAGCCCAACCCCGCGGCCCCGTTCCCGATCCAGCTCGTCGCCTGCACGGGCGCGGTGCCGTCGAACCAGCTCTGCAGCTCGCACTCGAAGCCGTCGGTGCCGGGGCCAAGGGTGATGGACGCGGAGCCGGGGGACGAGTAGAACACAGCCACGTTCGGGTCGTAGCCCGGCGAGCCGATGGGGTTGGTGGTGTCGAAGGCGGCCTGGACGAGCATGCCCATGCCGTTGTTGGGGCTGTAAGGCGGCGGGGCCTGGGCGTACATTGTGGGGGAGAAGTGCTGCTGCAGCTCCGGGGGCAGGTGTTGTTGTTGTTGCTGCATCTGGTGCTGGTGAGGGGGCGGAGGTTGATGGTGTCTTTGTGCAGGCGGCTGTTGGTGTTGTTGTTGTTGGTGGTGGAATTGGTGCATGTGTTGTTGTTGCGGTGGTGGTTGGTGCGGGGAGAGGTGTTGTTGGTGCTGGAGCGGTTGCTGCTGCTGCAACTGAGGCGTGTTCAGGGGCGGCAGCGGGAAGGAGGCGTTGTGTTGCTGCGGCTGGTGTTGTTGCTGGATGCTGGGCGACGGGCTCGGCGGGGGAAGGATGTTGGATGTGTTGCTGCTGGTGCTGTTGTGGCGGAGGGGCGGCGGCTTCTTCTCGTTGAGGGGCGTCGCTGGGGGGCCGGGGAGAGGGACGGGGAGCTGGTATTTCGGGGTTTCTGCGCGGGGCTTGTTGAAGGTGGAGGGCGAGGGATGTAATGGGCGGAGGGTGCGGTCATTCTGTGAACTGTCAGTGTGCAAGTTCGCGGATCACGAATGGCGACTTTTAAACGTACGCCGTCTGCCATGCTGCTATACGCGGCAGCCTTGGGATCGCGCGAGAAACGCTCTAGAGACTCCAGCCATCGGGACGCGAGCGGCCACGTTTGCTTGGATTCGATCAGGATGGACATGCAGCGTTGGAGCATGTTTGGTGCTTGTGCCACGATAGACTTGTCGGAGCAGACTAGGCTGGTTAGCATGATGGCAGCGTGCAACGTTCTGCTTGTCACGTACTGTTCTTGTACTTGACCATGTATGTCGAAAATAAGCCGCAACTGTAAACACAGAACGACGCCATCTGGGCCCCGACACCCTCTTCCGACGACCTGACGCTGAACTGCGCGTCAACCTGCTCGTACAGCTCGCGAACGTTGCGGAAGAGGTCGTCGGACATTTGGGAAAAGAAGCTTCGGCGTTGGGTGTCCTTTTCGTCCGTCTTGATGATACTGCTCGAGTCAGTGCTTGTTCTCCTATCAGACCCATGAAGGAGCCCTTACTTATCCAAGTACGCCCTCCGCAGAACAATGTTGCACAGCTTCGTAATCATCGTGACACCCAGATAGGCCTATAAAAATCAGCCAAAGCCCCCATTCCAATGGCCGTGAATCGCAAAACCCACCAAGTCCTCGCCAACAGTCTTGTGTCCCTTCAGCAGCACCATGCTCCACCGGTGGTCGGCGGGAAGCTGGTGTTCCCAGTTCATGAGCTGCTTCGCCATGATCGCGTACTCGCTCGTCGGGTCCCAGGGGTTGGCGCTCTTCATCGTCGCCATTGCCCGCCGGGCAACCTTGCCCCAGTAGTAGTGTGCCTGGATCAGGCTTGCGAAGAGCGACCGGGAGGGCTGGTGAATCAGGGACGGGTTGTCGCGCGCCGGTGGCGTGTCCTCGAGAGCTGCGCGGGAGTACGGCTCGCGGCCGTTGGCGAAGTCGTCCTCGTTGCTGGGGAGGAGGGCGGTGATGTCGTTGGCGGCGAGGGAGACGGGCGACAAGGCGCCGCAGTGGAGGTTATCCTGGCCTGTGAATGTGTCAGTGATAATCATCAAAATCTGAAGAGGTTGGGCTACGGACTGTGAAGCATCCACTACACATGGTTAGCGTTTTGTCATCGCTTTAGACGGTGTCTCAACTCACCAAAGTTCTCCTTGCCGACTCTGCCCTGATGATCATCTCTCTGGTAGGATTCTTCATTTTGTAGAACTCTTCCCGATGCAGATGCATCAGAACGGCCATTCTCGTGGCAATCCCAATGTTGATCTACCGAGAATCAGCACAGAAACGGATAGTCGAACCGGACATCAACACCTACATAACTCCGGTTCCTCCACCCGCTGCCCTGCTGCGCCAGACTCAGCAGATAGAACGCCTGGCACCTCTCTAGCGTGGGCTCCTGGTACAGCTCATTCAACGCCAGGCTGCTCGCCCGTTCCATGAAGAAGTCGACGGCCTTCATCTCCCCGCCGTACCGCTCGGTCAGCGTGGGCGAGAAGCGCGCCGAGACGCTGAGGATGCCGAGCACAAGGAACACGCTGACGGAGCGGTGGTCGCGGTGCAGCTGCTGGGGCAGCAGCTCCTTCGGGATGAAGCCGAGCTGGAAGTACTTGCTCGTGAAGACGTGGACGGCGTCGATGATCTCGGGGAGCGGCGGGAGCAGGGCCCACTCGTCCGCGGGCTTCCGGGCGGCCGGCGCGCCTGGGCCCCGGGGGACGCCGTCAGAGGCAGCGCTGCGTCGAGCCTTGTCGGCTTCGCGTTTGGCGGCCTTCTCGGCCCGCAGGCGCGGGTGCCGATATTCGCGGTCGAGGTCTGGCTGGCCGCGTTGCGGGAAGACACTGTGGTTGCGGGTTAGCTGGGTGGCCGCATTGGGATCGTCACTCTCGGGGCGGCGGCGGCTGCTCGGTACCATACCAGTCACTCGCCTGCAAGCCTGCTTCGGCACAGGACTTGCACGGGGGTTGGGCTTTATCATGGATGCATTTGCTTCTCATTCGTCGGCATCTGCGCGAACGGATTTCTTAGCTCGTTCACTTCAACTGCGGTTCGGGGAGCGAGGCGAGGCGAGGCTGCTCCCGTGGAACGGGTGTGACAAACCTTCGGCAGGCGATTGGGGCTCTGCGCTTGATGGGTGCTTTCGGCCCCTGCTGCTGCATGTCAGGGTGGTCGAACGCGTTGAGGGAGTCGCTCCTGACGCTCGCGCTCGCGCTCATGTCCAATGCCATCAGGTTCGGCTTGGCGTCTTCATCCAGGTCCATTGCGCATCTGGACGACGGTTGCTCAGGTTTTTTGGTGGCCTGGGACGACGATGGACGTCTGCCGGGCGAAGGTGGCCTGTGTCTGAGGCAGGTAGCAAGGCAGGCAGGTTGGACGGACGGAGAGCCAGCCGCGGGGATGTGATGTGGGAACTGCCTTTTCGATCGGTGGGAACGAGATCTCCTAGTGATTGGCACGAAGGATTCGCGGAGAACGGAGCCGGTCGCGTAAGGAGCGAGCAATCAGCAGCTAGAGAGTAGCTTGCTGCTGTTCCGCGTCCCGGGACGATGGCTTGACGTGTGACAGGGCGTGGGGGTTGGTTGGGCAGACGGCAGGATTATAGGCGAAGGGGGGGGGGGAGGTGGCGAACGAGAGAATGAGAGAGAGAGAGATGCGTGGTGGTTATGGTGGTGTGCTGGATGATGACATTCCAATTGTTGAAGAATCAAAGAGGTCGAGAGGCGCGAGAGTGGGTATCTCCATCAAGCAAAGCACCGCAGCAGAGCGAAGCAAAGCACCACCGGGCCGTCGATCTCGGCCAGGTTTCGAAGATTTGATTGAGATTTGAGCAGCCCCAAACTGTTAGGCTCTAGCCCTCCCTCTACTAGGCAAGTAAGGTAACTTAGTAAGTTAAGTACCGTAGGCATGTATGTACCGCCGTGTGTGCCTGTCCCCCCTGAGCCTGAAAGGGTTCAAGCGTGAGTTTTTAGAGTTTACCGGCTGGTCGCTGCTGGAGGCGCGTCAGAGATCGGCACTGCAGTCTGCCGCGAATTTGATGGCGTCAAGCGGGCTGCGGGCCACTCGGCAGGAAACGTTACGTCTCTTGGATGGACGAACTTGTCCTCTTTTGACTGAAGAATTGGACGAAGCGAGCTGAAGCGAACCAACTCCAGCTGGAGGTAAGGGGGTGCGGGTTTGTCCAGCCGGGATGGGCGACTCGACGAACCGAAGACGGGGGGTAAAAAGACGGCGAACGGTCCACACGTGCTTGCAAGATTGAAGAAAGACTCACTCTCTCCGAGAGAAGAAATGCCAAGCTTGGAGAGGTGGACAATGCGAGCTGCCTCCCTCGTTAGGTCAAGGAGAAAGAAGAAGAGAGAGAGAGAGCTGCGTGTGGCACAGACCTCGAAGTTGGGGGTCGTGAGCAGGGGTCTCTCTCGTAGCTACCACTCTGGAGCGCTAGGAAGTGCCTCCGTCAGCACCGGCAGTGAGGCGCTGTTCCACGGCAGAGGAGAAATTAAAAACCAACGGCCGCGTCTCGACCGCCCCGGTGGAACACTGGCGGGTGATGGTTTCTGGGGCGGTGGTGGACTGTGGACAGCATCTGAAGTTCGCACGGGACGGCGACCCGGTGGTGGTGGATGTGGCCGCCCGCCATTCTCCTGGGAGCATGGACTGGGATGCGGCTGGTGCATAGTGTTGTCTCGACGGACCTCTTGTGTGTACAGATATCGCTGGACATCCCTGGAGGCTGCCCTTGCAAGTTGTCGGCGAGTCAGTTTAGTTGCGATGATGGATGATTAACGTCATGCGGGACCGTCTGTAGGAAAGTAGGCCACTGCGGACGCCGTAAAAATTGGATTAGGGTGATATCCGCCGAGAGCACACACTTAGCAGCACGCTGCTATTCGTAAGTACCTGCACCTGCACTATTGGGTGGGGGCCAAAACGGGTATAGAAATCGGCGGATCGACGATTTCATTTTCAACGCTCCGAGCTGAGTTGAGCCATGTGCCCTTTTTGTTTCCCGCAATCTCATCTCTCTGCGTCCCCTCTCCTGCCTGTTTTCTTTATTCCGGACATGTACGGAGCACGCCCGCTGCCCTGTTCCTCGTCCACCGGCCTGCCTTCTGACCCCTTTCCACACGTATGCTCCAATGAGATATACACATGCACACATGCAGGTCAACAGCCAGATAGATAATGGGAAATGACAATGAACTATGCTGAATACGAATTGGGTCCACGCGCTTGGGCCTTCGTTCGCGTTGCGATCCGTTGCGGTGGCTTGTCCGGCCCAGTCGAGTCCTGAAGTGCGGAGGGCGCCGGCGTTGATCTTGCCCTGCAGGGACCGACGCTGTTTTGCACTAAAACACAACTCTCTTTTGATTATCCTGGCTCCTTTCGGATGATACCGATTTACCTGCTCTAGGGCGTATTGGGCGTAAGCCACAATATACGTTGATGGCTTCTCCGCGGGGCCCTTGTTATCACACACCACGTTTCTCAGGAAAACATGGGCATCTTTTTATGAATGGGGACGGGAGCTGCATCGGATGTCGAGTCGGCCGTGTCTTTCACTGACCGGGCGCCGGACTGTCGTCTTTGCATTCCATCAGACGGGGACGGGCGAACGATCCAATGTTCGCCGTCGCCGTCTTGGCATTTCAATCTTTCACTGCGGTTGTCCCCTCCGTCTGATATCAGGACTTGTAGTTGGCGAGGTTTTGGTCAAGACACGAATAGGGAAGGGGCTAGACCGAGGGACTGGAAGGGGTCCCTCTGTGCGCGGCGCGATCGATAGGACGGGCCCAAGTGTTGATCAGGTTGCCACTGGCGTTGGAGGTTGGCGCGGTGCGGTACTATCCGTGGCCCTGGGACAATGGGCCGCTCTATTCTATTCTCGTGGAGAACGGCGCGCTGATTTGACAACATCGTGTGGACTTCAAAGACCTCCTCCCATCTGAAAACGTTGCCAGCGCTGGAAGGCACAAAGATGGCCAACGTAGGCGGGAGCCTTTGAACCACCGCACATACGAAAACGAAAGCCGCTAAGCGAAAACAGTATCTGTGGCTGGTGTTCCGTACGCCACCCCTCCTGAGGCTTGCCTTTCAACGATGACCTAATCACTCGTTAGGTAATCGGCCATCCCCGTCCTGCCCCGGAGTTCTGTGCATTTCCCGTCAAATCTCCGAGCGTATTCACCTGGCTATCCTTGACTATCCTGCTCAAATCAACCTTTCTGCTTGATACACGCTCATTTAACACAACTCTTCCGCTCGGTAGCATCTTCTGCCCAACCTCCTGACCCGTTACCACCAAGACGCCGTTGGGCAGAAAACCAAGTGTTTCAAGTGGGACTTCCGGGACGTATGGTACGAGCCTGCTGCATGCGACCTCGTCGTTGCACGTGTAGAGGAAACAAGCTTTCTGCACTACTGGCAATTCGAACGAGGGATTGAACGAGGGTCCAACCTCGCTTTGTGTAAGTTGTCTCTGGGCCTGTGCCAAGCCAAACGTGTGCAGCATATCTGCTGGGGGCCCGACTGCAAGATAACTCTAAAACTGCGTGGTTGCTGTTTTGTGCAGAGTCGTACACAACACAAGTGTCAAGTGAGTGAACGTCTGCCATCACCATGGTAGCATGGTGCTCTACCCTTTCATCTTCTGTACTGCATTCCTAAGATTAAGAATGCTTCAGGTTAGAAAGACGCGAGAGCTTCTTGGAACAATCCCTCCGGATGTCATCTCTTATATCCGTCCCCGGAAGCCCGGCAACACCTCCCCCCAGCCCCCAAATCGCGTCCGCGGCTCAGGCACCCATCTCGGCAGCTGGTACCCCGAAGTCGGGACAATCCATCTCAACACACAGCACCGTTGGCTTGGCTGATCCCAGGACCCTAGAAGCCCTCTCCAATCTCCCAATCACCCGAAGGGCAAAACCAAAACCTCACCGGGCCTATTTTCCACCCATCACGGCTCGCCGCTCAAACCCCATCTTCTCCAATGCGGAGAACCGGGGGGGCCAGCAACCTTGCTTCGTCGACAGCTGACGTCGTCCAAACACCCAATTGAGAAATGAGGCAACGAGCTAGGCCAAGCTAAAGCTTCGCCCCTCATGCTCTCCTGTCGCCCTGCCCTCAAGCGAGTCAATCGTGAGGGGTCCCGGTGAGGAGAACGAACCGTAAACGGCACCAGACTGCCGGCTGTGCGGCTCAACCCCTTCGTTTGGGGAAACAGAACCATGCTCGCCATGCAAGAACGCCAATCCGGGGTCGAAAAGTCGGGGTAATGAAAGCTTGGAACCTCGGGGTCTTGAGTCGCGAAGGCGGTTGAAATACCGAGATCTCGCCCGCCATGGCCGGTTTTCGTCTGAAGAAGTCTTCAGTCGCCCAGCTCATACCTCAAACACGTTGACGATCGCTTCACCGACACGATGAGGACCGCCGCACTCCTCGCCACGGCCCTGACGGGTCTCGTCTCCGGCGCGTCCGCGGCGCCGGCTGCCAAGGCCGAGCCCTTCCTGAAGCAGGTCAACAACCAGACCTGGATCATCGGCAATGACGTCTGGAACATGACGCAGGGCCTCAAGTACGGCGTGAAGCTGTACTACAAGGACCGCGACCTCGTCGGCGACGCGGTCGGCCACTACGTGAGCTACAGTACGTCTCTCCCTCCCCTGAATCCTACCCATATATCGACAGAACGACTAACACAACCCCCCAGACGGCGCGGCAAACGATATCGCCTGGTCCTCCGCCTCCATCGCCCACAAGGGCACGCACGAAGGCACCCCCTTCATCGACGTCAAGTTCACCGCCACCGACGGCGACTTCCACTGGGTCATCTTCCAAGGCCTGCCCGGCGCCTACCAGTACTTCGTCAACCGCGCCCTGCCCACCCTCGGCGAGTTTCGCACCCTCTGGCGCCTCGACAACGCCTCCTTCCCCAACGGCAAGACCGCCCTCCACGACAAGCCGCTCCCCGCCCTCGCGGACTACCTCCCGCAGAACAAGGTCCAGGACGAGACCTGGCTGAACCCTCAGGGCGACGGCTACATCACCAAGTACGACTTCTCCGACCTCGTCCGCAACCAGACCGCCTACGGCGTCTACGGCCCCGACATCGGCAGCTGGTACATCAACCCCGGCAAGGACTACTACAACGGCAACCACCTCAAGCAGGAGCTCATGGTCCACCGCGAGAGCGCCACCGGCGACGCCGTCCAGCTCAACATGGTCCACGGCACGCACTTCCAGGTCTCCGCCGTCGACGTCTTCC